GTTCAGACGTGTGCTCTTCCGATCTTAATAATTCAAAATCTACAGCTTTAACGCAAATTTTACATCTTATAAAAGTGAAAGATAATTAAATTTCGAAAATTTAGAAATATTTACAAACTCATTTTGGAAATATGTGCAGTGCGATGATGCTAAAAAACATTAAAAATTGTCATTTTTTCGTGCATTTCGTCAAAAAAATCAGTTCCGGTGAGGTGTAGGTCAAATTTTGTCTGTGCATTTTTTAAAGAAAATTATTAATCTTTAAAATTTTTTTTTATTCATCTACGTACGTTGATTTGTTTCCGAGATACAGCTGTTTGAATTTTTTTTTTAAATAGATCATAATTAAAGCTGACAAAATTTCCTACATGATTGATCTGATGCATTTTCTTTGTAAAATCAATAAAAAAAAAGATATATGCAAAAAAGAAGCACTTGTGTATCATTTCTTTAAAAAACACCACTTTTCGAGGGTGTTTTTTAATAACATATCATATCTTTTGATCAACTTATATGATTACATTAATTTCATATGCATATGAAGTATTAAAAAAAGGTAAAATCCAATTTTTAAAAAATTATTACGTATAAATTTTTACAATAAATTATTAATTTTGTTTTAAATTGTATTTTAAAAAAAAATTCAAACAGCTGTATCTCGGAAACAAATCAACGTACGTAGATGGATAAAAAAAATTTTAAAGATAATTTAATTCTCTTTAAAAAATGTACAGACAAAATTTGACCTACACCTCACCGGAACTGACTTTTTGGACAAAATGCACGAAAAAATGACAATTTTTAATATTTTTTAGCATCATCGCACTGCACATATTTCCAAAATGAGTTTGTAAATATATCTAAATTTTCGAAATTTAATTATCTTTCACTTTTATAAGATGTAAAATTTGCGTTAAAGCTATAGATTTTGAATTATTAGCGATTTTATCATGAAAAAACCGTATTCGACAAACGATAATGAATGTTTCAAAAATTCATATCTCTGTCAATATTGATCGTAAAGAAAAAATGAAAAAAGGAAATTGTTTGTAATTAAATTGTCTACAACTTTTATTACAATCATTTTCCGATCCGAATCGCCATTTTTAAGCTATCGACGAAAAATGCATGACGCGTTCGAGTGTTTTTTATTTTTCATAAAATAGTCCTTATTTCAAAAAAATCTAGTTCGACTGCAGTTGGTCGTACAAAATTTTTGTACAGACCTTCTTTGTGTAAAATTTAATTCTCTACAACTTTTGCGTCTTCACTTTTTCCCCTAAAAGTGAAACTTTTTTAGTTGTTGGCGAAAAACCGTTTTTTTTTTACCTTTTTTGCACCTTAATTTTCGCAACGATCATGATACGGGGGTGGGCTTTTTGTACCTTAATTTTAACCCCAAAAGACACCCCTCCACGAAGTGACAACATTTCTAGTATTTTTTCCTATCGAAAAGTGCCTTTGACTGGGCTAAGGCCCTAAACGCAGATTCTATCTTTACCCTCTTATCTTTAAGGTCTTTACTAGATATGAGTAACTCAACTACCGCATTATTGTGCGCATCTATAGATTTTTTTAGTTCCTTAATTCTAGAAACGTTGATAGTATCCAGCTGCTCACGGTTGCCGGGCCGGTAGGTATTTATATTAGCGCTCAGCAAGTCACCTTCCGAGAGGCGAGTTGCCATTTCGCCTGAGTTCTACGTCACCATCCGAGAACTGACGCATGCGCACCACACACCGAGAGCAAAATATGGCACTTATCCGAAGGAGAGAATCCAGAAAGAGAAATGGGCGAAATTGATTCAGGCTTACCAGATCCAGCACTGATAAATGAATAATAGCAAGCAGGAAAGCCCCCGCAACCATGCACTGCAAAAAGAACGCCCCGCAGAGCAGTGGGCAGCAGAAAAAAGTATCGAAAATGTCAGAGCGATGTGAAGCACGTTGGTAAAGTCAAAAGAGGCACGTTGGAGAGAGAACACAAGAGATTAATTCCACATTCTTTTATTCACGCACAAACATGTTTCTCGAGTCGAACATTCAATACAAAATAATACTTCGCGCACTCACAGAGTATCACGCGCGCGGTGCCACGCGGTTCGGCCAAGGACGGCGGTATAACGAATAATTGTAAACGCTTGGCAAGAATCCGGCATGTCGCACCTATTGATTTGGGTCAAACTAATTATTGACCTAAATAGAGCAGCGATCGCAGGTGACTACGCGAATTTTTCGGAGTAATGGGGAGTTCGAGGGAAGGGAGCGAGGGGCACGAAGCAAACGTGCCGAGAGTCAGTCGGGTTTTGGTCGCGGTGTGCGTGCTTGCGATGTTTAGGCAAAAGTGTCATAAAAGAAATAGAATAAAGTCTAAAGAGATCGGTGAGCGTGCCGTGTTAACGATCTAGATTAAATCCATGAGCGTGCTTTATCTGATATGTATATATATTATACTTTCTATTATTTTTAAATTGTGACTTGGAGCACGTGAATAAATCCATTGCTTTTATTATACTGAAATTATAGTAAGATTCTTTTAGTGCCGTATGTGTGTGTGTGATTCGTTTTAGTCCTTCTAGCCGCTAAGCTTACAGAGCTTCGTTATCAGAAGTGGGATAAGTGCTATATCGAAGATTTTCCGCAGAAGGAGCGATCGTTGGGACCAAGTAAAGAGAATTTCGGCAGGCCCGTTATCGGAGGTTAGTTGGAGATATCCTTTCGTCCCGGAAAGTCATATGTAGCCGAAAAAGTGCATATGAGCGGTCCGCGGTTAATGCGTGTCCACGTGAAAAGTCGTTGGGAAATTCAGATGGTTTCAAAAAAGTTCGTTGCGCAGAAAGGATAGGCAGAAAAAACGGAGCACGCGGTGTGAGCGCGATCAGCGCTCCTTCACGTGATCAGCGCAAGGGTGCTTTTCTATCGAGGCAAGTCATTGTTTTCGACATTCAAATTCTCACAAACAGACACCGGTCTTAATGACTTTGTTTATCGACCCGGAGCCAGGAGTAGCGAATTATCGAGTTATTGAACAGTTATTGATTGCCATCTAGTTGTGAGGTGACTATTACCCGAAAAGTAATTTATCCTGCTTAGTTATGAGTCGGGTGCAACTGGAGCAGCTCAACGTAGAGGGATTGAGAGAGGTCGCTCGCCAGCATGATTTGGATATCTGTGGTGCTCGCGCCGCATTGTTTGATCGCATTACAGATTATTTTGAGCGCCAGGGTTGGCCGGAAACCATTACTGTCACGTCACCTGTTATTGAGGATCGACCGATGGGGGAACAGGAGTCTCAGATTGCCCAGGAGGAAGCCGGCATGAATGCAACCGTGGCGGAGCAGCCACCTCAAGTTCGAATGTCGGAAGCGGAAAGGCATTCTGGAAGGAGTGTCAATGCCGGAAATGTTTTCGAAATGCAGGAAATCGTGCGGGCTGTATTGCAAGCCCTAAATACGCCGCAGAAGCGACGGCCAAGCGGAGTGCCTGAGTGGTCGGGACCGGAGGTGCGGCCAGAGACGTCGCCCAGTTCCACTTCTCGATCGAGCGGTTTTCATAACTGGAATCAAGTTAAGTTCGCCTTAAAATTGATTCCTTCGTTTGCCGGGAAAGAGAACGAAAACATAATTCCCTGGTTAGAAAGGATAACGAGTATAGCTAGGATGTATCAGATTCCGGATGAGGTCTTGGTCCTGGCGGCGGTGAATCAATTGACGGGTCGCGCGATCGGTTGATATAATCAACAGCCAGTTGAATCAGTGGCGTCGTGGCAGGATTTTAGGCGCCAAATTCGAGCGTATTTCGAGAGGAAGGAGACATAACCATGATATTATCACGCGTGAATGCACGAGTGTGGAGAACGCACACTGAGAGGTTCGTGGACTACGCGGAAGATAAGTTGAAATTGATGCAGTTCCTCAATCTGCCGGAGAAGGAGAAGATCGAGCTGTTGGCCGACGGTGTCAGGGACTTTGTCTTTAGACGATTTGCGTTAAACTTTTGGGCCGTCAGTGTGCCGGAGTTTATGGAGCACATGCGGAGGATTACGGAGGACAGCATGATTGCCCGACGACCAGGTATGGGATCCACAAACCGGAGTGCCCGAAACTTGCTGCCACCCGGGCGGCCATTACTTGTGCGCATTGCAAGAAGGCGCACCACCTGGCGAAGGATTGCAGAATCGCCACCATGATATGTTACACGTGTGGTCAAAAGGGCCACTTAAGTTCGGCCTGCCCGCAGAGGAGGCCTGCTCCGGGAGCTACTTTGAATCATCTAACTGACGAACTGGTGGAGGATAAAGTGATTCCCATGGAGGCTGTCGTGGATGAGGAGGCATCGAGCAGAATCTATGTCATCGAGAAGGAAACTCCATACATCTCAATCTCCAGATGCGGCTCTCAGGATAAGTCCTTTTGCGCACTCATTGATACAGGTAGTCCGGTGAATCTTGTCCGAAGATCGGTGTATCAGAGGTATTTCGCGAATGCAAATTTGTTTCGGGTAGATAAATATCTGAACTTAAAATGAATTAACAATTCGGAGATTAAAGTCTTTGGGAAAATATATGATCAAATCTGCTTGGAGGGGGGGAGGGGTCAATAGGTGGTTTAACGTATCCTTACTGGTAGTGGACGATTCAATTATCGCTTTCGACATTTTGTTGAGGCGCGAGTTTTTAATCAACTCAGGAGTTAAGCTCGTTTATCAGAACGGTAAATTCAAGTTTGAATGTCCGACAGAGGAACCCATGCAGATTGATTTTATTTTCCAGATCGACATTGTTGATTCGAGGGAACGCTGCGACATTGCGATCGATAACTTGGATGGGAGCGTTGTCAGGCACGGGAAAGGTTGATAAGCCCTTTAACAGCTGATTGAGAGTTTTTTACCTTATCGAGAAGTTCCGTGTAACGTGTTTTAATTGCTTTTTTCTCGGCGTTAAAGAGCATTTCTTTTAAACCATTCATTAGAAAATCTCTATAAAGTAAGAACAGGGGTTCCCAGGTATGCGGCCGACGTTTATGTCATAAGAGCGAATTAAACAGTGTTAATTACTTACGTCGTTGTCGAGTATTTGTCTTCATATTTTTCAATGTCCTCTCGAATAGCACTTCAAATTTGAATGACACTGAAATCTTTCAAATGCACTTTCAAGTGTTCGGTTATCTCGCGGAACTTAATTGTTTTGTTATAAGAAGTACATCTGAATGCTTTTGAGCGTTGCGTACATATAATTATATATACCAAGCTCCCTTTAATTCTTTCTTGTCGTATAATAGAAATATGAACTCTTTCAGTCTCCATTTTAAATATGAGGAACACTACTCTTAGCTTGTGTAATAGAGCGGTTCACGACGTGTTCTGACCGACAGATTAATTCAAACTAATCCGCAGGGAAAATCTTTAACAGCCACTGGCGTGGAGAGGGTAGGCTATAGCCGCCAGCAGCCAACCACCTAAGCCCATCGCGGCTGCCAGCCTATAACTCCCTCCACTTGTAGCCAATGGCTGTTAAAGGTTTTCGTAACATTCCTGTCCGCTCGTCAAAATATTTGAATTCAACATCGACGTAGAAGGTCGAAGAAGCTTCTAGAATAGTGATGTAACTACCGGGTAAGGGAGGGGGAGGGGCAGAGAGAGCTGCGACATGTAGGCATATACACTGATGGATTCGTCGACCCGCTCTGCTCGAAAAAAAACATAAACATAAAGACAGATACATGAGATCATTGGCGTAAAGGCAAAGGAATGAAATGCTTTGCTGCCATATTTTTCCTTTTTTCCGCGACTCTTGTTACGTTTTTCTAAATACCATCATTGTATAAATTTATAAATACG